CCACGGGGCCGGCCCCCTAGAGATGACGGTTTGAGATTTAGTCTCTATCAGGAGATGCAAATTCAATTACCTCCAGGGTCAAGGCAGGTAATGCAAATGAGGATTAAGAATAATTAAAAAAAAAAAGAACAGCATACATCCCTAATAAATGATAACCACTACTCGGTCTCAGTGGGAATTCGATAGAGAGTGGTGGGGACTGTGGTGAACTGGAGGACACACTCTGTGTCTTAGTCACCAGTTATGGCTAAGCAGGAATGTGGGACCAGTGTTAACAGATATTCTGGGTTTTGAAGAGAAATCATAATTCTAGGTTTTTTTTTATTATGACACATCCTAATAGTTAAATGCTGACAACTAATTTTTAAAAAGCTTAAACACTATGCAGACTAAATAATATATATCTGTGATTGAGTCAGCTCTGCTCATAGGCTTCCAATTTGTGACATCTGAGCCATGCAAGTGGGATTCAGGAGAGCAAGTTGAGCAAGTTGAAAAGAAACCCAGGGACTGTCTGTGGAGAACCAGGACCCTCCCAGGCTCCCAAGCTTCCCTGTGGGTGAGTCCAGGGCATAGAGAGGCCCTGAAGTTTTAGCCACTGCTGTCTGGTGGGCTCCCAGGTTGGTGGCAGCACATACAGCCTGCGCCTGCCATGGCTATTTCTGCTCACCACCTGGAAGTCATGTGAACAGCCACTGAGCTTCTGATACTTTCCAGGTTTCCTCAGGAGGGAGCCTGCAGCCTTCTCCTACACCAACCTCTGTGGCCATGTTCATCTTCCACTGTAAAGATGCCCATACCTTGGAGTGTCTGAGTCCTGGCTGGAACAGGCATCTTGTTTAGCACATCCTAGATGTTCACTTTCCTATCAGGAGGTTTTTCTGTTGCCTAATTTAGGTGCTTTTTGTACAAGTGAATCTTCTTTTTGCTTCTATCTTCAGAGCAAGTGGAGGAATGGGTTATTTTTTAGCTTTCAGACTCTTTTCCAGTCCTCAACACGTTCTCAGAAATGATCCTTATGGACTTGAAAATTGTTCTGACCTAAAGATGAGCAAGTCCTTTGCATATTTATATTTTACCAAGCCTGCCGTTAGTCCAGATGGGTAGATTTCCACTTACGCTCAACACCAATCACTTTTGCATTATCTATTTCTGTTCCTGTTCTCAGTTCACTTTGGGGTGGGGGAAGGAGGTAAAGACAGAAATTTTTAAAAGAGGTAACATCCCCACTTTCTCACAGTCTTCATTAACAGGTTTTAGGGACAATGGCGTTTTCTTCTGTCCTGGATTTCCATTCCTGATCCTAAAGAATAACTCCTGGACTGGCTGGCCTAGAACTGATCTCAAAAGGCAGGATGGGAGATGATGACAGGGAACCCTCAAAGACATTCTGGGGCCAGCCCTGTGGCGCAGGGGTTAAGTTTGGCGCACTCCACCTCGGCAGCCTGGGTTCAGTTCCCAGGCACGGACCTACACCACTCGTTGGTGGCCACGCCGCGGTGGTGACTCACATACAAAATAGAGGAAGATTGCACAGATGTTAGCTCAGGGCAAATCTTCCTCAGCAAAAAAAAAAAAAAAAAAAGATGTTCTGGGCATTCCCCAAGGATGCTTGCAAAGAGTTATGAATATATTTAGCAGTATTTCCACCCTGATTAGGAAGTGAGGAGGAGGCATCTGGTCCTCCCTGGGTGATGTTTCTTATCATCTCAGGGCAGCAATGAGGTCTGAAAAGAGGAAAGATCAAATTAGCATCTATACCAGCCACACTCAGACATACCCCACCCAAATGTTACCTTCCCCTCTAAAATACACACTCCACCAAAACATCCACACTTCACGAAATGACACCCTTCGATATGTATATTATAAGTGCATGTTAACATCTGCAAACACATATCCATACTCCCTCCTATCCACAAACATCAGAGCTCACACACACTTTCAAGTATGCACACTCACTCAAATAAATATACTGCCCTCCCTACCCACACTGATACACACGTGCGCACACACATGCACACATGCAAAGACCTATAAAAACTCCGTGTTGCACAGTGTAGGAGTGAGCTGACAGCATCCTCCTAGAATATCAGCCCAGCCTCCGCCCACACAGCGGCTTTACTCAACCGCAGGTTTCTACGAGTGGTAAGGAAACTGGGAGGTAATGTTGGCAACCAAGCCAAGGCCCTGCAGGCCCAACAGGACACTAGGAAAGACAAGAGTCACATAAAACCATCTGGTTGCTCCTGATTGGGGAGTGGAGACCAAGGTGTGTGTGATGACCCCACAGACAAGGCCAGAGTTGAGGCCTGAGGAGAGGGACCCAGGGCTGGGTGGGGATTTGGTCTGAGGAGGGCAGTTTGGGATTTGAAATCTGAATTGTCCTGGAAATGTAGGACATATAAGCATAGTAACCTGTTTTCAAGCAGCCTACAACCTGTTGTTGAGACAAGATGTCAATCTTTAAAGAGATCACTAACAATACCAAACAATAGATTATAAATGCCAAATAAATGGTATGGATAACATTAATTCTGTAGTGGGAGAATGGTCAGCACAGGTTTTCAAGGAGGAAAATCAAGCTTAAACTGTGCCTTGGGAGCATGGGCGATTGGGGGAGATGGGAAGGAGGCACTGAGGTATCCCAGAGATAATGGCACAAGCCAAGGTGGAGCAGGGCCGGGCACATTCAGGCGTGCATGAGGTGGGGGCCACGTGACAGGGCAGGGATGGTGATCATGGGCAATATGCTGAAGTCTCTGGGCTGCAGAGCTGCTGCGATGATTAGAGAATAGTGAGGAGAGTGAGCACAAAGTGGTAGAAACCTAAAAAGGTAGATGAGGCCAAATTATGAAAAATCTTAACTGTTAGGCAAAAGAGTCCAGACTTAATGCAGTAGAAAAATGGCAGAGGGTGGTGTCTCAGAATGATCTGAGCAAAAGAAGAGTAACCTTCTTTTTCTTATTTTATTTTTTATTTTTATTTATTTATTTATTTTTATTTTATTTATTT